GGCAAGAACCAGACATGAGAAGAGACTGTTTATAACCACTTGTATTTATGATTATAAAATTGATACGAGGTCATCATGACCTTTTGAAAATTACACATATTAGAGGCCTGTGCTGTGGCGCAGCCAGTTAAAGCCCTGGCCTGCAGCACCAGCCTCCCATATGGGCACCAGTTCGAGTCCTGGCTGTGCCACTTCCAATCCAGCTTTCTGCTATGGCCTGGGAAAGTGGGAGAAGATGGCCCAAGTCCTTGGGCCCCTGCACCCGTGTGGGAGACTAGGAAGAAGCTCCTGGGTCCTGGCTTCAGATCAGCTCAGCTCTGACCATTGCAGTCATCTGGGGAGTGAACGAATGGATGCAAGACCTCTCTCTCTCTCTCTCTCTCTCTCTGTAACTCTGTCTTTCAAATAAATAAAATAACTCTTAAAAAAAGGAACATTACACATATCAAAGAACTAAATAAAATCAATGTAAGCTAACTCAGTTACCTGAGCTCTATTTCCTTTCAGGGGTCTCACACAAGTCTGGACGCATTTATTTAAAAATGTTAGTGTAGGGATTGGAGTTGCGGTACAGTGGGTTAAACTGCTGCTTGTGACAGCGGCATCCTATATCAGAGTCCCAGCTACTCTGCTTCTGACCTAGTTCCTTACAAATACGCCTGCAAGGGCAGTGGAAGATGCCCCAAGTGCCTGGACCCTGCCACCCATGTGGGAGACCCAAATGGAGTTCTTGGCTCCTGCCTTCAGTCTGCCCAAGATCAGGCTGTTAAGGCCATTTGGGAAGTGAAGTGATGGTTGGAAGCTCTCTCTTTTTCTCTTCCTGTTGCTCTTTCAAATAAATAGATTAATTAAAAAAGAGTTAAAAATTACCGTGATGCGTATACTTTATGACATAACTTTTTCACTAAGCATTTTATACATATTTTAAAGATTTATTTATTTATTTGAAAGGCAGAGTTACAGGGCCAGTGTTATAGCATAACAGATTAAGCTGCTGCCTGTGACACAGGCTCTGGTTGGAGTCCCAGCTACTCTACTTCTGATCCAGCTCCATGCTAATGTGCCTGGGAAAGCAGTGGAGGAGGGCTCAAACCCTTGGACCCCTGCGCCCATGTGGGTGACCCAATTGAAGTTCTTTGTTCTTGGCTTCAGCCTGGTGTAGCCCTGGCCATTGTGGCCATTTGGAGAGTGAAACAGCAGATGGGAGATCACTCTTCCTCTCCTTTTCAAATAAAGTATAGATCTTAAAAAAAAAAAAGCAGAGTTACACACAGAGATAGATAGCTTCCATCTGCTGGTTCATTGCCCAGATGACCACAAAAGCATGGCCAGGGCTGCTCATAAGCAGAGCAGAGATTTGCATATTTTGTGATGTGGTCGTTCCAGAGAATGTTGTGCTAAAACCGTGATTGAGAGGTGCTTCGTGCTGTAGTGTGAGCGCTCACCTGGTTACGGCAGAGTGCACAGAACCTTCTCTGCGTTCTGAAAGTAAGCACTTGCACATACATATGCACATTTTATTAAAAAGAAAACTCAGTGGTCCATGAACCTCTTTCCAATTGGCTTATGCACTTCTAGGAAAAACAAACCAACTTGAAAAGCCACAGAGCAAAGCCTTAGTGAGAAACCTGTTCTGAGATTAGTGTGCATCATCAGCAGTAGTTAAAGTAGGGGCGGCGCTGTGGCCCAGCAGGGAAAGCTGCTGCCTACAGTGCGCAGATCCCATATGAGCAATGCCTGGATTCTGAGTGTTACAGAAACCCGGCTGGGAAAACTGGCCCCGAGACAGCGGAGGGTGGAAAACAGCTTTTTTTTTTTTTAAACTTTTATTTAATAAATATAACTTTCCAAAGTACAACTTTTGGATTATAGTGGCTTTTCCCCCCATAACCACCCTCCCACCCACAACCATCCCATCTCCCACTCCAATCCCATTCTTCATCAAGATTCATTTTCAAGTATCTTTATATACAGAAAATCAATTTAGCAGATACTAAGTAAAGATTTCAACAGTTTGCACCCATACAGAAACACAAAGTATAAAGTACTGTTTGAGTAGTAGTTTTACCATTAGTTCGCATAGTACAACACATTAAGGACAGAGATCCTATCTAAGGAGTAAGTGCACAGTGACTTCCATTGTTGATTGAACAATTCACACTCTTATTTATGATGTCAGTAATCACCCGAGGCTCTTGTCATGAGTTGCCAAGACTAGGGAAGCATTTTGAGTTCGCCGACTCTGATCATATTTAGACAAGGTCATAGTCAAAGTGGAAGTTCTCTCCTCCCTTCAGAGAAAGGTACCTCCTTCTTTGATGGCCTGTTCATTCCACTGGGATCTCACTCACAGAGATCTTTAGGTCATTTTTTTTTTGCCAGAGTGTCTTGGCTTTCCATGCCTGAAATACTCTCATGGGCTTTTTAGCCAGATCTGAATGCATTAAGGACTGATTCTGAGGCCAGAGTGCTGGGAAAACAGCTTTTTAATGCCCGCCGCCTCAGTGGGAATCATTTCCTGAGACTGAGCCTGGAACCCAGGTTTCTCACCATATTTGTGGGTTCATCAGCCTCATGCAGTAACCGATACAGCACTGGTGGGTTTAAACTGCAGCCCAAGTGACTTAGGACCATGTTGGTGGGTCCCGTGTGTTTGTAAAGGAGACACCTGGGGCAGATTTCTAGGACGGATTTATGACTGGAGCTACAGAGGCAGAGCCTAGGACACCTTCCCTCCCTAGACAGGATAACTGTGGGCAGCTGCTTCAGACAAGTGCAAGCAGCCACTTTCAAGGTTGTGTTGGGGTCCTGCCTTCCTTCCTCTCTGCAGCCTCCTTTCCTCTTGCTGGCGGCCCCACTTCCCACCCAGCTCCCTGCTATGGCCTGGGAAAAGCAGCGGAAGACGGCCCAAGTGCTCGGGCCCCTGCACTCACGTGGGAGACCTGGAGGAAGCTCCTGAATTCCACTCGGCCTTGCCCTGGCCATTGTGACCATCAGGGGTGTGAACCAGCAGATGGAAGACCTCTCTCTCTCTGTCTCTTCCTTTCGTCTGTAACTCTGCCTTTCAAATAAACAAATTTACAAAAGTCAAGCTGAGATTACCAACAGCAAGGATATAAAATGTGGAGGGGTTACAACAAGATTCACTTAGCATCGAGTACCGGTGTGTGAGGTTATGCAATGAAATTAGTGTGTAGAGAGGTTAATTTTATTTTGCTGTTGATATTCAGAGATCGCTTTTTGTCAAATTTGATTTGACATCTTAATTCTGTAAAATATTGAAACACCCCCAAAGTCAAATTTACAGAAGCAGATGTGCTCAAACAAGCCCAGCTTCTAAGTCTGCAGAAAGACTGCGTAGTGAGTGAGCATCTCTCTGTGAGACTGTCCCCACAATGGCCTTCCCCACCCCCAGCCTGGCCCCGCCCTCAGGAAGCTCCTCTGCTGTGCTTCCTCTTCTTGCTGGTCCCCACACTGGTGTGCAGCAACTTCCTCTCATTCTTTTGTTACAGTAATTAACTGGTGACACTTTTTTTTTTTTTTAAAGATTTATTTATTTATTTAAAAGGCAGAGTTACAGAGATGTAGAGACAGAGAGAGATCTTCCATCCCCTGGTTAACTTCCCCAGATGACTGCCATAGCCAGAGTTGAGCCACTTGAAGCCAGGAGCCAGGAGCTTCTTCAGGGTCTCCCATGTGGATGCAGGGGCCCAAGGATTGAGGCGTCTTCTAAAGCTTTCCCAGGCCATAGCAGAGAGTTGGATCGGAAGAGGAGCAGCTGGGACTAGAACCAGCGCCCATGTGGGATGCCGGCACTGCAGACGGCGGCTTTACCCGCTATGCCACAGCTCCAGCCTTCCAGTCTTTCACTTCATGAACAGATGACGATGGATTACCTACAGCGTGATACAGTCACGCCACCAACGCCAGGCAGAGTTCAAAAGAAGTAAATCCGTTCTTGGAAGATGTTCAAGATGTACTGTTTTGATTTACAAGCCAGGGACAGTGGAGCGTGTAGCTATATTTTCAACATAAGCATCGTGGCGCCGAGCGTGGCTGGCGCGCCGGAGGGTGCAGCTGGCCGGGCCCCTGGGCGCAAAGGCGGCGATGCCCATCCCGATGGGCTCCCGCTGCGTTTGGCTGCCTTTGGCTCTGCCCGCCAGCAATGAATAAAACTGCCATCCCTCAGGAAGTGCAGGGCTCAAAAGAGACTCAAGAAAGAGACTACTTAGAAAGTGTGTGTTTTCCCCATTCACATTTAGACCACTTTTATCAGGATGTATAAGCATGGAAAAAGAAACATTTTTCATGTCATTAATTTAATAATATTAAACAGCAGAAGTGGTGAAAATAGCCAATGGTGGTGGGGATAAAACCTGTGCAAGGCTGAAAGAGCTAAAAATAAACTCCAAACATATTCTGGACAGCAAAACCCGAACATTCCCACTAAGTTATTGTCCTTGAAAAAGGCACGAAAATAAAAAAGATAACAAATTAGTGCCAAAAAGCCACCACTGATTAACCATGAAGGCATTTGGAAAATGGAAATGTGGAAAAATGCAAAAGGCTGCTTCAAACAGGACAGCCAAATCACTTCTGAATCTGACTTGGAGAACAGCTTTAAGGCTTTCTGTTATGCACACCGTGGTCTGGGCCACCGTGCAGGTGCTGGACTCTGGCCTTTGGATTGGACAGAAGCGTCCCAAGGAGCAACTCCACTGGCCACTGGCTGCGCAGCCTCCGCACCCCTTTAACACCAGAGCCCTGTTAGCTCTGAGCACTCAGGGCAGGACAGGGCAGGTCGAGTTGTCTGGCAGGGGACTGAGCTTCTCACTTGCTGCCCCTCCAACTACTGAAAACAAACAAACAAACAAAAAAACTGCTCAAAAAGACGCGAGCAGAAAATCAGTAAAAGAGACAGGAGAAATCTCACACACATTTAACGAAAGCAGCAAACTTCAACAGGGAGAAAAATTTCCAACAACAGCGCTGGAATTTACCTTGTGGGAGACAGCCCTGCCCCCTGTTTTAGACTCAGCTCCGCGGCTCACTAGGCTAATCCTCCGCCTTGTGGTTGGGGCGCCGGATTCTGTCCTGGTTGCTCCTCTTCCAGTCCAGCTCTCTGCTGTGGCCAGGGAGTGCAGTGGAGGATGGCCCAAGTGCTTGGGCCCTGCACCCCATGGGAGACCAGGAGAAGCACCTGGCTCCTGGTTTCAGATCAGCACAGTGTGCCGGCCGAAGCGCGCCGGCTGCGGCGGCCATTGGAGGGTGAACAAATGGCAAAAAAGGAAGTCCTTTCTCTCAGCCGCAGTCAGAAACCTCCCTTCCTTCCACCCTCCCTTCCACCCTCCGTTAAGCCAATAACCGCTCGCTCTGGCTCGTAAAGGGGAGGAGGGGCGGTGCCCGTGGGGTGCTTAAATACCGCGGCTCACACGCCTCCGAGCTGACACTCACTCAGGGATGGAGCTGCTGTCCGGGCACCGCTTCACTTCTCTGCTGCTTCTACTGCTGCCTCTGCTGGCAGCCTGGCTCCGGGCGCCGGCCGGTGAGTGCTTTCAGGGCAGGGCACAGGGCAGGGAGAGAGGATGGGGACCTCCTCGCGGGCCTGCGCTTCCCTGTGGAGGCTTCTCCCAGAAGTCACAGGAGGAGGATGGGAGGGGGTGTGGAAACTGCTGGAGCCCCAGCCCCGTCCTGGGGAAGGTGGGCGCTGAGCCAGGGGGCACGCGGATGAGAGCGCACCCTGCCTGGAGGCGACTGCGGCCATCCCCCGACCCCGCCTGCAACCACAAACTCCCCTTCCAACCACCAGCGCCTACTTGCTATGGCACCTCTCAGCGCCTACTTGCTGTGGCACCCCTCACAGCCTCATCCTGACACTTCCCTCCTGAGTTGCTGAGTCCCTGTGAGCCTCTGAGCCAGTCTCAGCACGGGACCAGGAACGCTGGGCTTCCAGTCCAATCTGTCCCTTTCTCATCTGGCAGGTCCTGACTTCTCCCCTACCTGATGGTGATGGCGATGGCGCCTATCCCCTGCCTGAGGCCGCCCCAGGCAAGAACACCCCCAGCCCAGGACCCTAAGTCGAAGGAGTGGGGACACCATCCCCCCACCCCCAACCTGTGTTCAGGCACCTCACCCCCAACCTGTGTTCAGGCACACTGTGTGTGTGAGAGTCAGCAGTGGATTCTGTCTGCGGTGGCTTTTGGTGGCCGCAGGGAGAGGAGTGGGGTCCTGTGGTTGCAGCGTTACTGCTACTCCTGTGCTGTCCAGCGGGGTCCCGGGTCCACATGGGGATACTCCCTGCAGCCGAGGGGTGAGCTCATCTCGGAGTGAGTGGTGCTGCCTTGCACTGGCATCAGTGGACAGGCTCCCTGCTCCTGCACCCCACCAGGAGTTCCTCAGAGGCAAGGGGCACGGGTGGCTCCAGCTCAGGAAACTGAAGATCTGGGCTCGAGTTCTGTGATTTACCCAGGACCAGTGTCCATGGGATGCGCGTGGAGATTGCGGTTCCTGGTGGTGGGTTTTGGAGTCCTCGTGTGCTCATTCCCCGAGTTACCCAGGCTTTTCTACAACCAGAGTCCTGCAGTAAAAGCTGTTGCTGTCTCTCACTGTAAACCTGTGACTGCCTTGACCTTTCCTGAGAAAGAGTTTCCTCTCCTCTCACTGGGTCCCGCTCAGTGCTGCTGTTTTCAGTCCTCGTCTGGACAGGAGATTTGGCCTCAGGTGCGGGTAGGGGAGGCGGTCATCATCCAGCCACTGTGCTAACTGCTTCTGCCAGCTTCTTCCCGGTGTGTGGTGTCAGCCCTGGTTGGGTCCACGTAGGAGCATGTGTGTGTGCACTCAGGTGACAGGTGCACTCCTGTATGTCCACCTGTCTGTTCACACTCTTCTCTGTAGGACCCCCCAGCTGACTGATCTGCCCTGATCGCCCACTCCTGCCATACTCTGGAAACCGTGTTTCTCAATGCTTCCCTCCTATGCACACCTGTCTTGGTCTTTCTTTTGCCTCTTGGAGTCAGTTCGGCTAGAAGCTCGGAGAAGACAGTGGCTGTCCAGGGACCACCCACACCAGGCTTCCCCTGCTGCTGCCTGGGCCAGCATCGTCTGCGCCAGCTTTCTGGAATGTCCATGTGGTTTGCACTTTCTTATCACGTGGTGTCGGAGTTTCTGTTCAGATGCGTGTGAGCTTAGGTACTGTGTATGCTTACACAGGACTCCTGTCACCAGCCCCCTCCGAGTCTAGTGGGCCAGGTGAGGACGCTGTGTACTTGGGCAGAGAACCTGAATGAATTACAAGGAGCACAGGTGGCAGAAAGTCGGGAGCCAGTGATGGAGTTGCCATGGCGGGAACTGATTTCCATGCGTCCCATCCCTGCCCTTCAGGTGGGCTCCTTAGACTTGGAGCTGGGGGAGAGGTTGAGTGTGAGTCCTTTCTCATCCCCACGCCTCACTCGTGTTTCTCTTCCACAGATGCTCACTCCCTTTGCTACAACATAACTGTCAATCCCAAGGCCAGACCCAGACAGCAACGGTGTGATGTTCAAGGTCACGTGGATGACAGGATGATTCTGCACTGTGATTGCAGCTTCACTCAGATCAGCTTTTTTGACCCCCTTGGGAGGAAAGTGGATGCCATTGACAACTGGGCAGAGCAGACAGAAATGCTGCGAGATGTGGTGGACACCCTCAATCAGCAAGTGGCTGAAATGAAACATTCCACAAGCAAGGGTGAGCCTGAAAGTCCCTGGGCAGAGGGCAGGTTTGTGAATAAGGACTGAAGATTTCCATGTGCAGAAATGGATACTGGGGTTCCTTTGGAGGCCCAGCAACAGGGCAGGAGTGGTAGGACATCAGGGCGAGGCGATGAAAAGGGGACGGGAGTGGAGGATCCCAGGTGGGGCAAAGGGTCTGTCAAGACTGATCTGGGCACGGGGAATTTCTTATGTTCCTGTGAAGTTGCAAGTTGGCCCCACTCAAGTGCCCCAGGAGGAAGTGCAGGATGCAGAGGACAGAGCAGGGCCAGGAGATACCAGAGGGACGGTTGGGAGAAGTGGATCCCAGGTGGGTCAGAGGACCTGTCAAGACTGATCTCTGACAATGTCTTTCCAATGGGGGCAGATCCCCCGAGCTTGCAGGGCAGGATGTGCTGCTGGCATGGAGCCAGCGGCGGCAGGCACGGGTCTTGGCAGTTCAGCTTCGGTGGACAGATCGGCCTCCTCTTTGACCCAAACACCAGAAAGTGGACAGAGGTTCATCCTGGGGCCAGCTGGAATAAGACGACCTGGGAGAATGACAGGCAGCTGACTGACAAATTAAGCAGGGTGTCCATAGGAGACTGCCCAAGGTGGCTGGGGAAATTCTTGTTGCCCTGGAAGGTGATGTTGGAGACTACAGGTAACTAGGGATGGGGTGGCGGGAAGGGGTGCTTTCTGGAGATGAGATGACGCCACCGTAGTGTGTGCATGCAAGGTGTGGGTGCTGTGTGCATGTGAGTGTGCTGTACCCAGGTGTGTGTGCATGCGAGGGTATGGGTGTGTGTGTATGTAAGGGTGTGGATGCTGGTGCGTGTGGTGTGGGAATGTGGGTGTGTATGAATGAGAGTGTGGGTGTGACGATTTATGTGTGCTGTGTGAGCCTGTGAGTGTCCTGTGCTGTGTGTGTGCCAGGGTAGGGTTCTGTGTGCAGGTGTGTGTGAGCCTGAGTGTCTGAAAACATGATCCAGTGTGATGTGTCCCTCCCTATGACAACAGGAGCATCACCGCTGTGTCTTCCCTCACACCTCTCCTCCTCCTCCTGCTCATCTCTTCCTCACGGTGTGTATTTCAGTCCCCTCACGTGCCCTCCTGCTGGCATCCACCCATGCCTGTCACTGTTTCTAGACCTTCTCCCATCACCATCCCCTCTTCCTAGAATACCAGTTCTCCCATTTCCTCTGCTCTCTCTCTTTGGTCCTTCAGAACCATCTCCAGGTCCAGCTCCTGCCTCCCTTCCTGGCCACCACCCGCAGCCTCTCCTGTCTTGGCCTCCCAGGAGGGATGGTCTGCATGGTCACCCTGGCTTCCTCTCTGGCAGATCTTTCCCATCCTCCCTCCCTGCTACCCCAGGACCTGTCACAGCAGCTGCTCAGTATAGGTGCCAGCTGTGTGCACGGCTGCCTTTAACAGGAGCAGGAGCTGGAAGGCCTCTCCTGGGGGTTTGGAGTCTGGATGGGGGCCTCCAGTCTTCTGCTTCCATTTCAGCGCGGCCACCCACAACCTTAGGAGTAGTCGCATCCAAGGCCACGGCCACCATGCCCATGCCCTGGGCCTTTTTCCTGCTCCTCACCAGCTCAGTCCTCCTTGTCGTGCAAGGGGAGCCATTCTGAGTGACAGGTATGGAGGGCAGCATTGGGAGGGGAGCAGAGGGCAGATGGGATTGGGTGGGATGATGGCAGAGGGAATTCCCCAAGTCCAGTCCTGTCCCCTGGACTGCACTGTCTCATTCTGGAAATGAGACGAGGAAATCAGTCCTCATGTCCCTCAGAAGCATTAACTGGGACCAGCTCAGCCCTGAGTTCTAATGAATTCTCACTGTCAGGAGCCAGCCTGGTGGAGGGAGAGGGAGGGGGGGGCCCTTTCCTACACCAGGTTTCAGCAGCTGGTTCATGGCCTGTGGGTTGAAGAAGGCTTAGCCAGCTCAGGATTGTGTAGCGCAGATTCAGGGCCCAGTCACGGGATATTGGGGCACAGGAACACAGGCACAGGGTTTGTGGGCAGCAAGCAGCATGGACGCTCCACTCGAGGAGTCGTTGTCAGAGATTCCATCCTCAAAGCAAAGAGGATGCTGACCCCTTCCCAGGATGAGGGGTGGGAAGGATTTTGTAACCCAGCTCCTAAGGCAGAGGGCAGGGCGTTCCTGGTACCAGAGAACCTGTAAAAGGTCTTGGTCCCCCTGCAGGAAGAGAACTTTGGGATGCTCCAAGGTTAAAATGAACAAGCAAGGTCTGTTGTAAGCAAAGTCAACTCTCAGGGCAGGAGAGCGGGTGGGCAGGTGTATAGCATCTGTGCTGAGAATCTGAGGAAGATTCCTTCTTTATTGCATCTGATGGGGGGGGGGGTGGAGAATTCCTGAGATGGGAGGAGGACTCTAGGAGTAGCCGGGGCTGTCCTGGAACAGGGCATCACCTGTCTTTTCTCTAACCAGGGCTTCTCCCATCTGTGATGCTGGAATCACAACCACAGTGACCGCACTGCTGACATGATGCTGCCTATCTGGGACATTCACCACTGGGTGCCTTTGGAGTTGTTGGGCCGTGGAAAGTGCTTGCAGCCCTCTTG